GAGCTTGGATGCCCCTGGCACAGAGGACACCGGTCCTGAGCTGCTGCTTTTACCCAGACAGACCGCAGACAGGACAATCTGTGCTCTTTGGCTCTCTCTGCTGGCTGCCGGGCACCCCATTCCTGGGCTTGTGCTCAGCAATGTCCCCCCACATCGCACCCTTTGGGGCAGAGGCTGGCATGAGGAGCAGAGGCTGGCATGGGGAGCAGAGCAGCAGGGACAGAAATACTGTGTTTGAGCCTCTGGGAAGAATCACAAACCCTGGCGAGCACAAGAAATAAAATAGGGTAGGAAAGAGGTGAAATTTTACAAAAGAGCCTTGCAAATGTGACAGCCCATTTCCAGGGGGATCCTTTTTTCTTCCTTAAAACTCAGCCCTGAGGAAAAGGAGAGATTTTCCTTGAAGGCAGAACACGGAGCTGTGTAAGGGAGCAAACACTCTACCTCTGGGTACAGCAGCACCGGGCTTATTGCCTGGCTGGGAGGGATTCACCGACTTCTGCTCTGTGCCGGGTGGAATCTCCTAGCAAGGGTTGAGGCATGAGCAAGGCAGGGCCCGGGAGCATCTCTCAGCTCCCCTCCCGGGAATGCTTTGCCAGGGCTGGAGGCGAGGAGCGTTTCCTCCCTCTGCACGGTGTTGCGTGGCAGGCTGCTGGCAGCAAGAGCCAGCCCCACAGAGGGGAGGCAGGCAGAGGCGAGCATCAGGAGGGATGCTCTGGGGTTGTGTGTGAGACCAAGCATCTCTCTCTCTGGTCCAGCAGCCCATCCAGGCGATGAGCAAAGTGTGAATTTCAATGCATCATTTTATGCTTTCTCAGGGAATCTCTCTGAAGGAAATACTGGGCACCTTCATTAGGTTCCTTTTGTTAATTGAATGACCAGGAGGGCTTCTTTGTCAGATGATGTTGGAAATATTAGTTTGTCGCACAAACTGCCATTTGTACCATACATATGAGAAAAACTGAACTTGGTGATTTTTTGTGACCTTGTTCATTTTTTTTGTGTTCTACAAGTTGTTTATGGGATAAGCCTCCTAAGACTGGGATCCAAAAAGTCTTCTGAGGTACTCACAGCATCTAGCCAAACAACTATTCTCGCAAGTGCAATTAGGTGTTGACAAAAAGTAACAAATAATTCCCCAGTAAAACAAAGACAAAGGAGAAGCAGCAGCTCAGTGTAAGTGAGTTTTATTGCATTATTCTGGTGAGAAGCTGTCAAAGAGTCAGAAGGTGTTCAGAGAGCAGAGAGTACAGTCTGTTCCTTTATCATAATAACTTTTATTGCCTAGGTATAGCTTTTCTCACCCTGGTCAATAAACATCCTGCTGCTTTGCTTTTAGAGAATTAGGGCTTGGTTGCAGCAGTGAGTGCTTCTTTCCTAACACCTGGTGATGACCCGTAATGGGGCTGGGGGTTGCTCCGGTGCTCCCAGAGGTGCTGGGAGTTGGGCAGGATGAAAGGGAAGAAGATTCCTGTGGTGAGAGCAGGGACCTGGGAATCCGAGATGCTCCCGGTGGCTGTGGATCAGGGCGATGGTGTAATGATTGCTGGGAGCCACAGAGGCAGAGTGAATGCAAAGGCAGCGCAGAGCATCTTGCAGGCTGCTCTGGGTGAAGGGTAGTTGTGCCCATGGGTCCAGGCTTTTGGTCTTTTCTGTGGAGCCAAAAGGAGTTAGCTGGTGCCAGAGTGGACCCAGACCATGAAATCTGGATCGCACCAGTACTGCCTCTGCACCACAGCTAGAATTGCTTCAAGCTATCTGTCACCAACAGGCCTTATGGGCCAAGGAAGATTTGCCTTTTTTACCAGTTTGGGCTGCACATAAAAAAAATCCTGGCCTGCTTGCTAGAATGAATGACCCTCCCTGGCATCATTAGTCAGAGAGTTTGCTGCTGGGGATGGCTGAGAAGCTCATCACTGGCTTCCCGTCGGGGGAATGTGTGTTTCCAGGCCTTATACAACCTTTTCTGGTTTTCATTAAAGGCAACTCTTCAGACAGCAGTTTCAAGCCCTTTTATGTGGTTCCTCACAGACATTTCCCTGCACTACCTCAGATGAATCACCAGGTTGAAGGTACCTGCTGGAATGGGGCTTGCTCTGGGTCTGCCTGTGACACCGAGTGCAAGAGGGGAGATGCATCAGCCATGTGTAGATCACCAGAGCCCCTAAACTCCCCCAGGCCCATCCTGAGGCTGCTCCTCCATGGACCCTCACCTTTGAGCTGTGGAGAACATCGCTTGAAAACCTCTCTCAACATCTGCTCCCTCCATCGGCAGTTCTGGCCCATGGGAGCTGGCCATACCTATGTGCTCATCCCAGATTCAGCCTTGCCCAGCAAGAGCCTTCCCAGCCCGGGACACTGTTTCGTGGCTGTGTAGTCAGGGATTAAATATAGCCATTTAATCTCTTTACCCCATAATTCCCACCTATCAAAGAGAAGCATTAAAATCTTTCTTTGTCTTTCCAGCCTTTTTAGCTCAGCAGGGCAAGACCGTGTCTTGGACTGTGTTTGTATGGCTCCCCGCATCTGGGATTGCTGGGGCTGCCGCAGTGCAATCACACATGGTGACACTGTATTTAATGCCCTGGGAGCCGTCTCCCCTGACTCCAGAAGCTCCTGAGTTGATGGAAGGAGCAGGTTTGTCTTTCTGCCTCTGAACTGTGGACATTCGGACATGCTTTCACCAATAGATCTTCATTAAACGTCGCAGAAGCTGCCATGACGTGATGCCAGCCTGAAACAGGCTGGTGTAGCATGTGAATCACTCTGTCTTTGATTCCTGCCTGTGCTTGAGGATCATCCGCATCCCTATTTGTGATGCATTTCACTCCAGCAATTGGCAGGATTAAACTCCCTTCAGAAGCACTGGCATAGTGACCAAGAGGAAAAACCTTGGGCGAGTAGGGGTCTATTTATAGCCCATGAAAGATGGACTCAGTGCATATGAACATTCAAGCCCCTGGCACCTCCACCCCCCTTCTGTTCTGTAGCTGCTGTCTTGAGGCTGTCTCAGCACGGAGGAATTAGCTGCTTTTTGAAAGCTAAGTGGAACCTCAGTCGAGACAGGAGCAAGCAGCCAGGGATGGGAAGGTCTCTGCTTTACTGAATCCCCTAAAATCTGCTCCCGTGATGATGCACAGCAGCAGAGGAATCAGATGTGAGCCAGGACCATTGTTCTCTCCTCAGAGAATCTGTCTCCACACTTTCAAACAGGGTCCTATTCTCACCCTGTCTGCTTTTAAGGCTGAGAAATTATCTACATTGCCCATGCTCTTCAAATGTCTTTTTGGAGGCTTCCTCCCCAGCAGTGCTAGCCCTTCCCCTCTCCCAAGGGTGAGCTGCCACAGGAATCCAGTGGGTGACGAAAGGTGTCCTGCAGCACCGGCAGCACCCACGGGTGCCCTGCTCCACGGAGGGGGGGCAGCACCCAGTCCTGCCTCTGGGGTCCCAGGGGCCAATGCCAGGTCCCCTCCCCACAAGCGTCCCCTGCTGCCCTCGCCTGCTGCCAGCCGGCTGTGGAGCAGCCCAGCCAAGCCCTGCGGTGAGTGAGCTGGGGTTCCGCACCGGCACCGCTGTAGTTCCTAATGACAAGGGATTCACTTGCCCCAGCTTGAATCTAACAAACCCCTGCCTGCAGGGAAAGGAGGTGCAGACCAAGAGTAAAGGCAATGGCCCACAAGCCATCAGGAACGATGGCCCATGGAGAGCTGCTCTCAGCACAGGCCAGAGGGGACTGAACATGCCCTCAGCTGGGGAATCCACCTCCACCGGCATCCAGCTCAGCTCTGTGCCCATGAACATCTCTAAGAGCCCCATTTTTGCCTTTTGTTCACATATGATGGCTACAAAAAATTTGTTACCTCTAGTCCTGAATGATGAATTCCTCATCAAAGTGAGACCTGTCCCCCATGCAGGATGCGTGCTCCACGGCTCCAAACTCCCCCACAACTGCAGGTCACAAACCAGCACAGCCAGAAAGGGAAGAGACTCTGCAAAAGCACGAAGGATTTCTCCTCCATTGAGAGAAGCACGTCTTTTTTCCGATGCTATCTCCTACCCTACTGACCCTTTTAATATTTCCTTTAATGGTGATGTAGTGGGTTGAAAAACCGCTGTAAGTGGTTTATTAGATGGAGAGGGGCTGACAGCATGGGGTTAACATCTCAGCTTTACAGGGATGCGAATCCTCCCTCTGCGCAGCAGAACAAAGGAAAACTTTCCGAAGGAATCCCAGGAGCAGTGCTTGCCTGGAGAATGTTGCAAGGAGTAAAATATGGCAGGTAAGAAAACCTTTTAGTGTTTGTGGCTGAGGAGGGAATGAGGTGTGTGTGGGGTAAACTTGTACTGTGAACCACTTTTATGATCCCCGTTGCTTGGAATACACGCCTGTGATTTACAGTGATGTCTGGTGATGGGTGTAAATCCTCTAGGCTGACTGAAGCACCAGCGCTGTAGATTTGACTCAGCCACAATTACAGCCACAATTTAGATTTGCTATCTAAAATACCACTGTGTCTCTAGGTCCCTTAGAAAGACCACAGCAAAAAAAAAAAGAACTTTAAAGAGATACTGTGTGCGTGTGCATATGCCTGCATGTGGATGCTCTTTGCTGTTGCTGCCCTGAGGCGGGCGGCAGAAGACAAGCAGTCTGAGAGAGCTGACTTAGGTTTTCTCATTGACCACCAAGTTTCAGCATCACCGTTTGAAACATAAACTTTATTGCAACAAAGAATTAAAAATAGTACATCTGAAAGTTGCAGAGTGCATGTCATTAAAGATCTAGTCAGAAATCACAACTCAAGCAAATCGTGTACAATTGAAACAGAAAGTTTTATTAAAACAACTGGAAATCAAACTCAATTTTTCCTTGTTTGTTTAATTTCACCATAACCGTGGATTGTGTATTTACAGTCTTCGCCTCTTGTGGTGAAGGTTCTGCTCAGGGCGGGGGGCTAGGAAGAAGGCAGGGATGGATGGGAAGGAGAGGTGGGTTTCAAAAGCTAACAGGATGTGAAAGTTTTCCAGAAGAAGTTCTTGCAGCCCGCTTTGCGTTCCCGGGGTGCCAGAGCAGGGTTTGAGTTAGCCGAGCGCTCCAGCTCCAGTCTCACTTCATCCTGCTCAGCCCCTCGGGACAAGTCCTCAGACTCCAGGGCTTCATTTTCTGTCTGGCTTGGCTCTGAGAGCAGTTCTGCCAAAAAGTACTTGGCCAGTTCCTTGTGGGAGAAGAGAGAGAAGGGGGGAGAGAGAAAGACCACAATTACTCTTTGGCTTTTCGGGGCTCATCACCGCTCTGTCCCTCTAAGACACCTTTGTGCCCAGATGAGAGACATGCTCAACTGCGGAGGAGAAAGGGAGACCCAGCTTTCCCAAGAGCCCAGCCCCACAGCTGCTACGCAGCAGCTGCACCTATGAAATAAAGCAAAGCAGAAGAGCGCTGACATCTACCTGGTATGGGGAAGAGATTGCTTTCCTGGCCATGGCAGGGAATGAGCTCATCTGAGCACCACCTTGCCTTCCCTTCCCTTCCCACTGGTCCAGCATGCTGTGCTGGACTCAGCGAGGATGCTGATAAAGTGGCACCGGAAAGGTCTTTGGGGGAGCTTGCAGGGGAAGCTGAGTTGGGGAACCTTCTAACCAGGGGTTATTTGTCTTCTTGCCCCTCCAAGCCTTGGCTGCCCCCTTGCATGGGTAAAGACATCCTCCTGCTGCACTGAGGCATCTGCCTCAGTTCAGCACCCTGGAGAAGCCCTTGTGAGCTGGAGTGGCTGCTCCTCATCCTCCGCCAGCACCCAGCTGGCTGGGGGAGGTCTCCCCTTTCCACCCCCAGCTGCCCAGCCTGTTGCTGGCTCAGCCCCGGCAGGGAATGGGGGGATCTGCCAGGGAACCAGGATCTGCAGCGAGCAACTGGGGTTCTGAAACCGGGTCACTGGGGAGATCTCTTGAGGAACTGGATGTCTGTACTGAGGGTACTGGGGTGTCTAATGAGGAACTGGAGGGGTCTGCAGCAGGAAAGCCAGGGGTCTGCAGTGGGGATGCCAGGGGTTCTGGCGGGGAAATGGAGGGTCTGCAGCGGGGACCTGGGGGGGGCTGCAGAGGAGAAGCGGGGGTCTGTGGCAGGGAA